CACGTACCTACCTCCCTCGCTCCAAACTCCGCACGCCCTGCGCGCTCTGCACGCACCCAGGGGTTCACACAGGCGCACCCCTGCACACCCACACCCTCAGACCCGCACTCCTCTCGGTCCACACTCTCGCACTCCAAGCTGTACACGCCACAGCGTGCGAGCTCGCCACGGTCCGCACACCCGCCCTCCTCGCCCGCTCACACTTTCTCACACGCCCCACGCGCATCCGCGTTCCCACGGCGCACACGTACACTCGCTCCAAACTGCACACACACTGTACGGACTCCACACTCCCCACACGCAGGTCACACGCAATACTCCCGCCCCACCCCGCCACCCAGCTCCCGAAGAGCACGGTCTGCACTAGAGGGCCCTCAGCCTTCATCACAGCGCGACTGTGACGATGATGTGAATGGAACACGACACAGGCATTCACCCAGCATCCCGCTACCCCTTCAAATAGCTGTTTCCATTTTTATTTCTTTCTTTCCAGGTTTTCTTTTCTTTCTTGTCCTTTTTTCTACTAATCTGTTGGTTTTGTTTCCCCTTCCTGGGGAAAGATCCAGGAAACAAGACTTTTGGTTGAACCAGTAACAAGTGGTAATCTCCTTTTGGAAGGTGAGGGGCAAATACACTCATCGCCCTTTTGATGACACCTGCCACCCCCTCCTCTTGCTTTCGGCTGCACACCTGCCATGTATGCCCACTCCCTCACACATACTGCTTGCTGCCTGCCCGGGTTGGTTTGGGAGAAGCAAAAGTGGGAGAGTCACATATTTTTTAATGAAAATAAATAAATAAATTATTTTTAATATATAAAAGACAATACCTTTCTAGAAAATTCAAAGCCAAAGTAGAAGTGGATATCTCACATCCTTGCACTATAGGAATCTACTTATTTTTCCCCCTCACCACTGTTTCTGCCTCCTTCCCTCTTTTCAATTGAATTCGTAATGAATAATTTGTAAGGTAAAAACTACAAGTAAAAGTTAATAATGACAGCAAAAATGTTTACCCTTTATAGATAAGTTGTATTATTTTGTGTTTAAAATAATTTGAAAACAAAAGCTTCCACTCACAAGTCTTTTCATAGTTGGCTTTAGGAACTTTATGTTAAAAAATCCCAGGAAGGGAAGAGCAGAGCTTCTGTAAGACACGAGTACACAATTTTTGTCCCCACATAACCAGGTGGGTTGTGTCTAAGACCATGGTGTTTGTCCTGAGCTGGTATGTTTCATAGAGGACCAAGGAAATCTAGAACATCATCATCAATAGCAAAAACACCACCACCCTCGGCAACAAAATAAAAAACAAAACCAATCTGCCAAAAAACAAATGTGATATTTGTTCATCCTTGTTACTCTTAATTGAACCACAATTATAAAAGAACTCACTAGCTTATTTTATTTGACATGGAGACCAAGACAAGGGAGAAAAAGCAGAAAGAATTACACAATATTACCAAGCAGGTTTTAAAAGCATTATGTATAGATGGTTAACATCCATCAAATAAATCCATCCACATTTGTATTCCCAGAACCTTTCATGGCTTCTAGCACATAGTAAGAGGTTTTGATGAGTTGTTAAGAGCAGGGTTTTGGATCACTTATTAACTTCCTAATCTTGGAAAAGTTTTTGGGTTGGATTATAAGAAATTCCCAGTTTTCTAGGTCAAAATCATATGAACTTGCCATTTTAACTGATCAAAATTAGGCATATATCAGCAGTTTTATCTGATTTAAACTAATACTTAATCTCTCCAAACTTTGATTTCCTCAGCTGTAAAATGGAGATAATATAATTGTCCTCATTGGATTGTTGTGATGAATAAATTAATTTAATGACTATAAAGCACATAGCATTGTGCTTGACACATGCAACTTCGCATTAAATGCTAACTGTTATTATCATTATTATCATTGCTATTCTTATGTAAAAAATATTAGTTGAATGAATCAGTGCATGCACGAATGGAAAATTATAATTAATGCCATCCTTTAACCTACTGAGTGGGAGAAAGTATTTGCAATTCATATATCTGACAAGGGGCTAATATCCAAAATATATAAAGAACTCATATAACTCAATAGCAAAAAAACCCCCAAATAACCTGATTTAAAAAATGGGCAGGAGGTCTGAGGCATTTTCCAAAGAAGACATCCAGATGGCAAATGGGTACATGAAAAGATGTTCAACATCCCTCATCATGAGGAAAATGCAAATCAAAACCACAATAAGATATCACCTCAGTCCTGTTAGAATGGCTATCATCAACAAGACAAACAGTAACAAATGTTGAGGAGAAAGGAAACCTTTGTGCATTCCCACTGCTGGTGGGAATGTAAAGTTGTGCAGTCACTATGGAAAGTAGTATGGAGGTTCCTCAAAAAATTAAAAATAAAACTACCATATCATCCAGCAATTCCACTTCTGGGTATTTATCTGATGAAAAGGAAAGCACTAATTTGAAAAGATGTATGCAACCCCATAATTATTTAAGTATTATTTTCAATAGCCAAGACATGGAAACAACCTAAATGTCACTGATGGATGAATGGACAAAGAATGTGTGATATATATATATATATATTCAAAGAAATATTATTCATCCATAAAAAAAAAATGAAATCTTGTCATTTGCAACAACATGGTTGGAATTTCAGGGCATTATGCTAAGTGAAATAAGACAGGAAAGATAAATATGGTATATTCTCATTTACATGTGAAATCTAAAAAATAAAACAAACATAAAAACCACAAACTCATCAATACAGACAAAAGATTGCCTGAGGTGGAGGGTGGGAGATGGGCAAAAAGGGATTCAAGAGGTACAGATTGGAAGCTATTGGTATGTTGTATCAGCTTTGTAGGGTCTTTAGTTGTAATTAAAGTTATAGCGTATTGTAAATACTTCTGTTGATTCAGCTATGTTTCCTTTGATACCTAAATCTATTTAAGAGACTCCTTCTTTGACAATATATTCTTCATCATTGAAAAGAATGTTTAGAATCTCATTTGCTAAAATTTTTTTATTGTTCATTGATGAATTGATAACAGTTGTGTATATGCTCTGCTTGCTTGCCTAAGTATTCTCTCTCCTTCTGGGTAGGGCATTCCAATGTTGTCCCCAGGTGGGGTAACCTGGCCTGTGGAGTCATGGTTCTGGCTTAGCTTTGTATAAAGACTGCACTGTACCCCCTTTTCCCCAGGGAGCAGGAGGGCCACACTGATATAGAGGAACATCACGAAATGACTCAAATTTCCCCCAAGTAGCCAATAGCCACCCAGGCCTCTTTTACTATTTGCTTTTTGGTACACACTAGTAATTTTGTTTTATTATCCATAGTGATTGAACAAAATGTTAGCTGTCATTCCTTTATATGATTGGGGTCAGTGAAGCTCTCTTGGGGGCCAGCCGCCTTTGGCGCTGCTCCATCAAATGTTTTGCAGGTTAAAAATTGTCATGATGAACTGTGAGCTACGCATGGCAGGATTTCTGGGAAATTCAACTATGACCCAGTGGTCTAAGCACTGTGGTAGAAATGCCAGTCCCGCGAGTTTTTATCTCCCAGCAGATGTCTAGATTGTGCCTGAAGTGTTTGATTTTCATTAGAATATTTAGCATTATTGTGTAACTCTCTCAGCTTTCTCAGCTTCCAACATTTGTTTAAAGAGAATTAGATTAATAATTGGAAAGTACCCTGTCACTAATCTGGCCCTTGGGCATAAAAGCATCTGTAATGGATGGGCCCAGAAGAGGTGCATCCTAACTGAAGCTACTTTTAGCATTCCACTGAGGATTTGAAGTATCCATGCAAAAGCATTATCTTTTAATGTACTGAGTATCCTGAATGCTGACCAGCTGAAATCTCAGCCCTCATGTTTTATTATCAAGTTGCTAAACCCTTAAGAGGCAAACATGTAGCAGACACTCAAAGATTTATTTCTAAATTATTTGCGAAGTCGGGACTTGTTTTGCTTAATCTTTACTGAACCAAAACAATTTAAAAGAAGCCAAAAAAAGCTGAGTTTAGTCCTTAGGGAAAATAGACTAGAAGACTCTCGTGCTATGGAAATTCTCTCACAGCCTTACGTGGGAGCAAGAGTGAACGTCAAATTTAATTTTGTTTGTGGAGAAAACAGACTCCCTCCCTCCACAGTTAGAAATGCAGAATATAGTATTTGACTTTTGGGGCCCTTATCTGGCATTATTTAGCAATGTACCAAACTGTATCTTAAAAACTGTGTAAATATCAAGTGTGGTAGGAGTCTCATTCTTTCAGCAAGGGTTCCTTGGTGGGCTCCATACAGCTTAGAGATAGGATGGGAGCAAGGGTTAGTGGAACTTCAGTGGGACTGAACATCAGGCCGTGGGTCACATGGAGTCAGATACCATGTTTGCCTCTCTCTTTGCAGGCCCAGTGCTAAGTCCAGCCCCTAGCACATAGCAGGTACTTACTGAATATTTTTAAATGAATGAATTCTCGTGGATAACCTGAGAATCCATCAGCTTCTCAGATATGGGACCAAAGCTATTGATGCCCTTTTCTCTAATGTGATTTGGAGTCTATGTCTGTGCAGTTCTTCTATTCAGGAATCGAAACCATGTAGCTTGTGAGGGAGGCCATCAGGCAGGCAACAGTAGAGAATGTCATCCTATATTTGCACAAAGGCTAGTGCCGGGTAGAACCACCATCATGGCTGCGCTGGGCAGAGCCTTCCCACCTCTCCCCCAAAAGACCTCTCATCACTGGTCTCCAACGTGGGGCTGGAAGGTGCCTCAGGGACTTGAAAGTTATTGCTAAGGGGCCATGACTCCATTTTTGTGTGTGTGTGTGTGTTTTAAATTAACTGGTACTTCATGTATGTTGTGTGGGGAGAGTGGAGGGGGTGCTCTGGAATTCTGAAGTTGAACAAGAGACCCTATGCTTGTAGAGGATGCCCCCACCCCCACTCTCCATGCCCCTAGAGGTGCACTCAAACCAAGCTGAGGCCACAGCCTTTCATAGGTCACTGCTGGCTTTGATGCCTTTTGTAGGGATAGGTGTAGGAATCTCAGTTCCCCCAGCAAGGGGAATAAAGCTGAAGAAGGAACCATAAACAAAAAGTGGAAGGGTATGGGGAGAAATCCAAGCGACTTCACTGGAAAGAGAAATGTCAGCAGAAACTCCCAGAAGAGCAACAATCAAACATGGTTTTTGGACAAAAGGGTTCTTATTGTTGGGAATAGGTTTTGACCGTGCCACAAATAAAGACACAAGAAATGGAAAGTAACTCGGCAAGGCAAACTTTACTTCTGCAGAAGGGTGCAGAGCTACCCCAAACAGGCAGGCAAGCACACCAAAGGGGGAGTCCTTGGGCTTTATCCCTAACGCCAGCGCCACT